CAATAGAGCTTGCACTGATAAGGCTGAGATCGCTGATCAATTTAATGAGCATTTTGTCAATGTGGGTCAAAACCTGGCCAAAAGAATTGAACATTGTGATGGAAGTCCGACCCAATTCAAAAGATCGACTCCAGTAGCTAGCTTTGTTATGTCCAGTGTCACTGAAACCCAAGTATGTTCACTTTTTAAATGTTTAAATGATCATAAGTCATCCTTAGATATTCCTGATAAATTAATTGAAATAGCTGCCCAGCCATGCCAGCCATTGTCAATACCTTTAACATATATATTATAACCAGTCTATTGAAACTGGAATTGTTCCTGATATTTTAAAAGTCTCACAAATTTCCCCAGTGTATAAGGGTGGTGATGCTACAGACCCTAGCAACTATCGGCTCATAGCAACTCTCTTACCTTTTAGTAAAGTGCTCGAGCGTCTAGTCTAATATATAGATTTAGCCAGGGCTAAAAGCGAAGCTCCTATTAACTCGAATTTACAATTTAAATCAAACAATAAACTTGTATTCCACAAATCAGTTAACTTTAGAGCACATTCATGTGACTTTTGAGGGAAAGGCTAAGTGATTTTAGGGAAAAATAATTTGCAAACAGTCCATCTAAGAGTGAACTTAATCTTACATCGAGTTGATAGCCTGATATGTACACCAAAAAAATAGCAATCATCTTCGATCACATTTAAGAGCCATAATAACTCCTGATCACAGTAGATTAGGCCTGCAAAACAAATCAGGCCGAATTTTGTGCGTTCGACAAGTTTTAAAGCTTTACAAAATCTTACAAGACGTATAAACCAACCTTTCATACTTTTTATACATAACATCTGAGGTGAAACAGTACCATGAGGCGCTGTTTTTATTATACAGACCTCGGGCAGAATGCAGTATTTCACAATTTTGGAATACAAATTGTATTCATTCAATATTCAGGACGATCGAAGCACGCGTGGGCTTTTAGCGAAACCGTTAAAAAAATTTCCAAAATCACCTATACGGCTAGCCGGTTCTCACTTTCGACAAGCGCCAAAGTCGACTGTTTAAATTAAGATAAACACACTTATGCGCTTCAACATAATATTATGTTTATTTTTTTATTTAATCGTTTTATAACGCGCGGCATTTTGACTACTCCTGCAAGCGATGTTCATGAGCGACTGAAAACAAACGGCACAGCGATGAAAATTGCAAAAGAGACTACTAATAATCAATAAAAGGAAAATAATTCGCTGAAACATATACAGAGACAACAATTTTCATTCACGAAGACAAGTATTACAGTGTCTCTGAAAATCCTTGTTTATGTTTTAAGCCGACTTCCCGGTGTTTGCTTTTTTGAAAGATGAACTCGAGGCAAGAAAATCGCTCAAAGCTTTCTTCTACAGCCAGAATTATAACTAAATATTCTTTGGAACGTTTTCTATCTATTTGCGGTGAGAAAATGTCTGAAGAATTTTTAAGGTTCTATAAGCTTATGATCAAACCTGATACTCGGTCAGATCATTGTCTCAAATCTTACAAACGCGCATAAACCAAATAGCCGCATAAACTACGCTCGACTTCATTAAATTAGATATAAAAAACAAACATCAAATACAATAATTACTCAGGCTTACCATTCGAGGTGCACTGAAAACTATCAAGTGAGGCCAGAAATTTTTCCGACTTTTCAACCGTCTTGCGCATCAAGCAGGGTGAAAAACGATGCCATCAAAATTGGATTTCCGACTTTGCCAAAGCCACGTATTTCTCAACCAAAAACCCAATAAAGAAACCAGCCATGAATAACAGAAGACTCTTGATAGCAGCTGAATTTCACTTTGTACATTCAGTGGAAAAAGACAGTTAAAAACATCACAAGTTGACACAAAACTCTGTCTGTTTCAGCTGTCAAAGTAAACAAGATTTAAGATGCTGCATAAATTTTCCGCAAGAACTCACCTGTCAAATTTTGACCAATCAGAGTATAAAAATTGGACGTAGAGCGTGACCAACGCGTGACCTTGGTGAGAAAAGTTAAAAGCAACTGGCATGTCGTCCCTGCCTGTAGAAACTGGCTGAATTTTAGCTTCCGAGGTCAGTTTGAAATCAAAATTTTAATTGTGCGGCACATATAAAACACAACATATTTCATATGAATTAAAAAAATATTAAACTTGAGCCTGCAATCATTTGAAAACTAGTAACTTGTCAGCGGATAACTTCAAAAACACCTCGATGGGTCGACACCTGAGCCCGCGATATGGTCAGGTGCTTCTGGTCAGCGGATACCCTGTTTTGACAGCTGTCAATTGATCACAACATTGATGTGCAATATGTGTGCAATATCAGTCTTCATGTGCTCCCAAACTAGCTAGAAAGTGTGAGATTGAACATTGGTTGCCCTGTGGTGCAGACGGACGGGCGGGCGGTGTACGGTGACGTGATTACCCAATTTTCTGGGATGGGTAGATTTACTTACCCATGGTGCTCCGCAGGCGCACTTCGCGCGCCAGAGCTCCGCTGTTTAACAATTATTCCACGAGTGCGCGTTGGATATGAGATGATAGATAGCCAACGAGGCGCGTAGCGCCGAGTTGGCTATAATCATCTCATATCCAACAAGCGCGAGTGGACTAATTGTTTTATTAAAAACACCCACAAAATCTTGTTGGATCTCCCCGACTTTAATAATTTTGTTAGAACAAACCGAAAAAGACAAGGGACTTCCCCTATTCACATGTCACACGTCTATCAAAACTGTCATCGCGCGAACGAACTCGCCTGGACTGCATGAATGAAGAATCAAAACATTGTAGCGATGAACATTTTTAAAAACTCATCGGGATTCTAGGATTTTACAAAGCAGGACAGCTAAAAAAACCTGGCAGATAATGTGAAGGAAATGAATTTTTAAGTGACAGCCATCGAAATTACTGTGAATTTGGATTTTCGGTGCAGATACAAAAGTAGGAACAATGGAGAAAAACTATTACCTCGGTCGCTTGTTATGAAGTTATTTGAAGCCACAAGCTGGTTTTGCGGAACAAGAAAAGAAGCTATACTGCCGCCTCGATTGCTCTAGTGAATGACTGCATAGCCTGTATTTGTAGCTGGTTTCTTGTGATTTATATTCTTGAAGTCGGATAAACAAGCCGCAGTTATCTATCGGCGAGTGAATCGATCGGCGAATGGCTTCGCGATCATGAAGAAAACACTTGTCTTCTTTTGTAGCTGGTCCAGGTACCTAGTTCCATGTATTGTCATGTGTTTTTCGACAAACTTTCAAACAAGTTGTTGTGGCTTTTTTGCTTGTTTTTGTATTTTTTCTTTCGATGAAATTGCATTTCTAGTATTCCAAGAAATGAATTAACACGATTTGCTTCGGGCGCCGTTCTATCCTTCCCGAAAAAAAATCTCAGCTAGCTTCCAATTTTAAACTGAAGCGTACACCGACCATATATGGAGAGCATGGTATAATGGCTCATATACCATAATGGCTAAGCCAATCAAAATGCTAGAATTTCATTATCCAATGATTCAGTTTTTAATAAAATCAATTACTTTTGTTCATGGACAAACATCAAATCTTGTACAAATATCGTAAAATTTCGAAAATAAGCCCTGGGGCTTATATTTTTCAAAGACTCTTTTAGAGGGGCTTATTTTTGGAGGGGCTTATATTCGGAGGGGCTTATCCACGGGGGGAAATTTGCGTTTCAAAATCGATTGGGCTAGCCTTATAGTTGGAAGTAAAATTAACGTTTTTGTTTTGTTTTACTTTGTATTTGAGGGCGATTTTCCAAGTACAGGCCCCTGGAGGCTTATATTTGGAGGGGCGATTTAACGGAGGGTTTTTTGCGTTACCGGTTTGACGGGCTTATTTTTGGAGGGGCTTATACACGGAGGGGCTTATTTTCGGAATATTACGGTATCAGTTTGGATTTAGGACAGGATATTCCACTGAACAAGCTATTCTTGAAATTACTGACAATCTGAAGCTAGCTACTGACAAAGGTCAAATAACATGTGGTTTATTTCTCGACCAATCAATAAATAATGATATAATAATTTAATTCTTATATTGCGCGCTTTCCATGAAATGATCAAGCGCGCATTACATGATTTCTTTCTATAATAATTTAATACAGGGTATCTAACTACTAATTATTATAAATATAATATGATAAAATTAAAATATACAACATATGTTAATATACTAGTAATAATTATATAGCAGTCAGTTAATCCAGTATTGTCAGCACGGCTATTGTCCTTTAATTTCTCAGAACTGTCCAATTTGGGATTTAATTTGGACAGTTTTCAATATGGAATTTGAGTAAAAATGTAGAAACTGTCCTATTTGGGAAAAAATAGGACAGTTTGTTTCAGCCAATGAAATCCGAGAAAAAACAATGGATTGTGAAACCAACCAATCAGCAGTAAGCAAACGTCAGCACTGAAAGCAGGACAGGACGAATTGTTGTTGACAACATGGAGGAATTCAGTGAAGAAAATTTGCCAATTTTTTCCATCTTTAGCAGTTCTCTTAGAAGCAGAAACGAAAACTCAAACACCGCCAAGAGCACAAAAACGTGGTTGAACGTTTTCATCGAGTGGAAATTCCAGCGTAACGAAGCGAGACGTTTTGAAGATATCCCTCCAGAAGAGCTAGATGCAATTGTCTGCCGCTTCTTTGCCGAAATTCGAAAAAAAGACGGCGGCGAGTATGAACCAGAAAGTCTGGCAGTGATGCAGAGCGCGTTGGACCGCCATTTAAAAAACGCGGGCAAAAAACACAGCATCTTGCGATACCGCGAATTTGAAAAGTCAAGGCAACAACTTGAGGCGAAAGCAAGAGAATTGAGAGTGAAGGGTTACGGAAAGCGAAAAAAATGCATCTCACGCTTTGAATGAAGAAGACGAAGAATTCCTCTGGCAGTCAGGTCAGCTCGGTAAACATTCTGCTCAAGCTCTGGTCAATGTAAACTNTCTCACGCTTTGAATGAAGAAGACGAAGAATTCCTCTGGCAGTCAGGTCAGCTCGGTAAACATTCTGCTCAAGCTCTGGTCAATGTAAACTTTAAAAATGTTACTGAACACTTTGGCCTCCGAGGGAGACAAGAGCACTATTCAATGATGGTGGAAGATTTCAGCATCATAACCAGTCCTGACAGCGTTGTCAAATACATAACTTTTAAAGAAGGTCCTACAAAAACGAGGCAAGGAGATCTCCGGATCGCCCACAGAACTGTACAACCCAAAATGTTTTCGACCGGCGGCGAAAGATGCCCTGTAATGCTTTTCGAAGAAATGCTGTCTAGACGACCACCAGAATTGAGAGACAGTGGGCCATTCTACTTGAAAACTATTTCAAAACCCAAGGGCCAAGTATGGTTTAACAGACAACGAATGGGTAAACACAAAATTGGACAGCTTATGAAAGACATGGCTGTCAAGTCTGGTTTAACTGCTGCCACTGGTAAGAAAATTACCAATCATTCGAGCAGAAAAACTTGTGTGCAAAAGCTAAAGAATGCTGTTGTCCCGAGGGACAAGATTATTGATGTTACTGGACACCGTAATATTCTCAGCCTTAATTCATATGAAGGAGATGACGAGAGTCAGGCCAGGGAACTGTGAAATATAATCAGTGGATGCAAGCAAACAAGTGATATTCAACAACAACCTGCTAACAGCAGCGCCAATAAGGATAGACTACCCCTTCAAGCCAGTTCTTCCAGCAACAGTTTCAGTACCATCAACAACTTTACAGGTACAGTGAATTTCTATGGTGCATTTCCTTGCTTTCCAGGTCTACCTAATATGCCAGTGCCAACTCACCAAAGCACAGAGCCACGACGTACATGGAAAAGGATCAGAGCTTCTGTACTCTCAGACTCAGATGAGGACTAGCTATTGCTGACTGTACAAAAACTTTAAATTTACACCTTTCTTGTATTCATTGTAGTTTTGCACTTTTTTAATGTGTGCGTGTTTTGTACAGACTAAAATAGTTAATTTTATTTTTTCTGCACTTTGTTAATTGCATTCTTTTCATAATCTTTTCCATCTTTATTGTGTGTGTGTTATTTCTTCACACACTTTTATTTATTGATATTGAAAACTGGATAGTTTCAAAATTCTAAATTTTTTGACCTTAAAGTTTTACAGTAGTGTTATATTTATTATATTTATTAAATTCAATTTCTTTTTTCAAAAGGGATAAATACTAAACACCGTTGGCTTTTGCACAGGAAGCCCATGTTCCACTCAAGGAACCCCAAAACAACAGGACGCTTTCACAGTAATAGAATGCACTGTTGGCTGTAAAACTACAACAAATTTAGTCGTAAGGCTTTAAATCTGAAAAATGAAAGCCGTTAATCATTAGCTTTTAAAAGATATCTTTTTTATCAGATTTCTGTTAGTCGCAAGGGTAAGAAAATATATATCAGAGCTGGATTTTTGAATAACGTTAAAGCCAAAATAGAGCTCTCCCCTCAAACCGTTTTTTCTTTCAACAACTATCTCCAAAGAAGTCAACATAAAAGCTGAGAGTGCAGCCATTGTTCTTCTTTCTTCTCCTCGTTTCTTTCTCCTCGCTCTTTCTATTTTTCCTTTCCTTGTTCTTTTCTAGGAGGATTTTTGGGCTCATTTTCCCTTCGGCTTTTGGCTCTTTCTCAGTGAAAAGACTGCAATTTTCGTTCGGTACGTTTTCAAAAATCCAGCAAGATAATGCTTTGGTTTTTACGGTTATCCATACACTAATATTTGTTAACGTACCAGCATCCTCAATATACAATTCATTTTCTTCTTGTTAAAAGTGAATTGGAGAGGAGGGGAGGATATTTTTACTAATTCTTTACGGCGCACAACAATGCAGAGTTTTTGAACAGGTTAAGCTCCAGTACCTATGAATTTGATGAGAGGGAAATGACTTTTCATTAAAGGAAAAGCGTTGTTACCTTCGCAAAGGTTAACGGAACAACCGCATCGTATAAGAACTTTGGTTCTAGCAAACGTTTGTTTCAATAAAACGAAATAGTATAATAGGGAAGCTGGTTTTTAAGGGAAAGATTAACTCTGGGTAGCCAAAACAATGCGTATAAAAATATCTTGTAAGACTCTCTGGAGTAATGGAAATTCCCCCCGCAGAGTATAATTCACGCAACTCAGTCAGAAGGTCAACTTGCAGTAAGTTGAAGTGTCACACACCGCTCATCCGAAGAGAAACATGGATTCCGCAAAAAGAGTCGAGGTGACACATCAGAAGCTAAGTCAGGCAAGCCCATTAATATCGTACATATGTCCAGTACTTTCACGCCTTCATTGACCACTGCAATTATTTTCAGATGTTTAGGATCCCATGATTGTTTAAGAAAAAATGAGGTCCATTTGCCAATGGACGAAAAAAAAAAAACTGGTCGAGGTTCAGGATTGCCAGTTCTCACAAAAGAAATGCAAGGAGGGAATATAAATGCCTTTAGACCACAGAGCAATTAATCTTATTCATCTTACCAAGAAATCAAGAGCTGCCACAGAAAATACAAATGAAACACACAGATACACTAAACTAAATCTGAGCCTCGCTACAAGAAGAAGATAAAAAAAGAACAATCACACAGCGTTGGTTTTCTGAACAGATTTGGCCAGGTGTAATGAAAAGCGCAGAGCGTTATGATGCAGCAAAAAGCAAATAGACAGAGTCCTTAGCAGAATATTTACTCACTCACATTGTAAAGTACGGAGTCATAATCCTAAAGGAGGTTGCGCATGTCGTGAGAAAAAAAAAAAAAAAGAATCCCTGATTTCGATCACACATATTGTGTCCAAGGTTTGAACATAACTACCTCAGAAAAATCGATTACAGAAAGTTATCGTCCGGCCTAACCTGGGATCAGGCCCAATTTGAGCGGTTCTCATACATTCTCTCTAACGGCTACCGCTGAAATCAATCAATGATCTTTTTGTTACTTACGTTATCTAAGACCAGGCAACCTAATCCACCTTCCTCATGTTTTTACTGTCTCCATTTGATCAGTTATAGCAACACAAAATAGCTACAGTTAAAATATTCACATTCCCTGTTCATTAACGTGCAAACAGAGATGTCAGTGAAGTATGTTTTGGTGATACAATGTCCTTAACCTCGGGCAGAATGGAGCTGCACATATTGGTGCTTTTAGCCTTCGTTGGTTATTTAAACAAATAGGAACGAGGTGCACTTACTCGCTCTATTAAGAGTTTGCCTGCGCCAATCGCAGGATGTTGTTACGGCAACGCAAATTTAAAACCACAGTCGCCACCAGTAATTTTGGAACCGCGGAAATTTCGTATTTTTAGTAATTATCAGTTTTCGTCAAAAATAGCCCAATTCCCGGCTCCTTTTAAATGTTATTTTTTTAAGCTCAGCTATCTTTTACCAGGAAATCGACCCCGTACTACAATAGTTTTAACAGTCTTAACAGTTGACCACTTTCCGCAAAAACCAATTACTGAAAGGATTTAAGTTAAGAAAAATGACGTAATAAACAAAATGATTACCTAAAAATATAAAATCCTTGGTCTTTAAATAAATTCTCAAGGCTAATTCAATAACGAAATGTTTGGCGATCAGTCTACAGAGAATTTGTATCGTGAATATTGCGGTTTTTAAAAATGGTTAATCCTTAGAACCAAGAACCAAATAAAGGTTTTTGCAAATCCTGACATGTAGGCGCGGTAGTAAAGGCGCCTGACCACATTCCCTAGCCGTTCCATGAAAGGCAGTCCGAAATCTGGGAGATTCTTGCTTGTTGAATCCGAACTCTGAAAAAAAATGTGCTTGTGAAATTTGGAATCCTGGGCTTTGGAATCCGGAATACCGCTCGAGAAACCTGGAAACTAATGATTGGAATCCAGAATCGAAGTTTCCTTCACAAAGACTGAAATTTAGTACCTTGAATCCGGAATCCATGGCGTGGAAAAACGACGCACTACGAAATGTCATTTTCTGAACGCATAATGCGTGTGGGTATTAAAGGATTAGCAACAAATGAAGCACGTGTTAAAACAAGTAAAACAAAAACTATAGTGCCCATTCATTTGTATTTCGCCGCGCGCAAGATCTCGCATTGATCGTCTCTCGTAATTATTAACACTAACCAGACACTTACGATAAAAGACGATTTATCCGTACGGGACGGATAATGTTTTCTAACCCGGTCGCAGGTGAACTTTGATCAAAGCTAAATTTTGCGAAGATCTAACTTTCAGTAATACTCTTTGAGTCGTTACGTCTGTGGAAGGTCAGAATCTGTTTTCTGTCTGCCCTAGGTTTCACGTGTATTTTTTCCATGTCAAGTTTTCCTAGCTCATCGAAGGTTATCTTCAGAATAGCTGTCTCATTTCATTTAACTTGTATGAACAAGGATTCAGGTCTGGGTCAAATTCCCACAACTTTCTTTATTGACTAAATACTGATTTGAAAGTGTTTGCCGTCAATTTTGTAACATCACACTGCAATGGCAATGCCATGTGCGTTCTTTATTCTGGATTTGATTTTTCCCGCAAATGTTCGCATAGACAGGGTTATCACGACTTAGCTTGTGGACTTCCTTTAGTGGACTGCGTATACTTTGAAAGTAATTTATCCTTGGAAAAAAATTGTCACTCATCTCTGCCGTATGATTCGCGAACGCAGGTTGGCTAGAGGATGGCTGCACCAGATATAAACACTTGGGAAACCAACTCATATTTTATCTTTCACCCTTAAATATTATCTCGAGTGTGATAACACGGTTTCTTTCGCCTGCAATTGGGAATAACAGCAACTGGGCGCTGTGTTGGCAGGCCTCCACTCATGGCTGGGCAGCCAGTACCTTTCACAACAAATGCGATGGGAAACGTCACACGATTACAATCATCAAAAAAGACAATTACGTGTTCGGAGGATACACGGATATTCCTTGGAGTAAGTAAAACGTCCTTTTTGTCACTGAAAATGGGAATAAGGCACTTTGCTTGTATAGTGCGTTTGTAGTTTGTGGTCTTTTGTCACTTTACTTCTAATCTAATGCTACAAAATAATTAATGCCAAAAACTTGCCTTTCCTTTTTGCTGCCTACAGAAGTTTCTACCTGATTCTTCCCCTCTTTAAGATGCCCTGAACCAGCAAAAATGCACTGCTCCTTCTCCGCCTATTTGTGGCAATAACAAATGCGCGATTGCGTTACATCACTTGAATGACGATAACCTTATGTCTTTG